GAGGGTGGCCATGACACGGCCCCTCTGCACAGAGGAGAGAAAAGAGACGATTGCATCATGAGAGGAAAGATAGACAGACAGACAAAGGGGGATGCATGAGGCTATGGTCCGGCGAGGCGAGACGAGGGAGAAAAGATGATGACGGGTGGCCGAGAGCGAGCCTGGCCGCCGCCGTCGCCCCTCGATGCGCATAGCTGTAGACAAAATCGGAAATCGCAGGCTGCAGGTCATGTTGTTTCCATTTCGGCATGCGCAGTGAGGCAGAGGTCGCTGCCCCTCTCTCTGCTGACGGTGACATGCAAAAGAAACCCATAGTCATGGCGGCTACCTGCGTCTTGACCGGTTCTCGCTAACGTGACCAACCTGCATGGGCAGGCAGCGGTCGCTTGACTGGGGCCCCCTCACCGGTGTATGGAGAAAACTGGGAGAACGGGGAGGATGCGCCGGAGAGACGGGCACGACGGGGTACCTCTTGTCGCAGACGTCGGCCGCCAGATGCGCGACGCAATGCGACGTACCCCCGAGTCTGCACCCAGCTCAATCAGTCACCAGTCCCGCCAATGTGCGACATGTCATTTGTCCGACGCCATGAGAGGGATCCAAGTAGTAGTATTTGCCGCCGCCTTGGACTGGCTGAGTCGTGAAATCTCTCCAACGAACCAACCCAAGGGTCCAACTCGGCAGCACCTGTCCTGACCTGTCCTGTCCTGTTCTGCCCTGCTCTGTGCCTCGTAATACAACAAACAAACACACCACACAATTATGCCGTGCCACGTCGTGCCTGCCAGCGCGCAGCCCTGTCTGGCGTTCCTGCGCGATCCTGCACTGAAGACCTCGTGACCGTGACCATGATGATTGATGACGTCCCCCCTCCAACATCTTGTTCCTCGACCTGCCATTACACAGTGTAACCCAACTTGCGTCGAGCCTCCACTGAACCATCCGAAGGGGGATCTTCGTCGGCGACGTCGCTTCTCGACGCCAACCCAATCGCCGAATGCAGCCCTGGACTCCCGAACCCTTTGCAACGCCTTGTCCGTCTGGGGACCCTTAGCCTTTTGGCACCCAAAAACTCCAAGCTCCCACCCAACAGAAAGAAAGCATGAAACCTGATTTGTGTGTGCTACACGCCACAACTAGGCCTGCGTCATGTCCATGTCCATGTCGTCGTCCCGTGTCGTGACTCGTCGTCCACTACTGCTGCTCTTCCTCCATAATGGCCGTCACCCGGTTGAGTGCGTCCCGCTTGACTTCTTCCATGGTCCGGCTGACGTCCACCGAGATGACGTCCCGCTCGTCCGCCTGGGGAGGCTCCAGGATGCTGAATTGACTCGACACCATGTTCGCGCCCATGTAGTGGTTCTGTCGCCTCTTGACGCGTTGCAGGAGAACGTTTTCGTCGGCATCTAGGTAGATGAAGTGAATCAGGAGCGAGTGGTCGTAATAGCCAGCCACACGGATGACGTCTCGGTACTTGCGCTTGAGCGCGGAGCAGGTGAGGACCACACCATCGGACCCATTGGCGAGTTGGCGGCGAGACTCTTCGCGCAGCGCGGTGAGCCAGTCCCAGCGGTCGGCGTCGGTCAGTGGCGTGCCGTTGGCCATCTTGTCAATGTTGGCTTTAGGGTGGAACTACACTGATAGTTAGAAAGTGAACCATAGCAGCTTGTAGGCTGTTGGACATACGTTGTCGCCCTCCACGTAGGGGACCTTCAAGGACGAGGCAATGTGCTCGGCAACGGTGGTCTTGCCGCATCCTGCAGGGCCCGTGACGAGCCAGATGTGATGATATTTGTTGTCCAAGTTTCCATTGACATGACCAGAATTGCTCGATTTCAGAGGAACAGACGACTGGTTCGACATGCCGCCCGCCCGACCCGTCGGTTGTTGTCCGTTAAGGTGTCCAGGAGCGTCGTAGGAAAGCATTATGCCGGATGTTTCTGAGGAGGTGAGAGGGTTGGTTCGGCTCGTTGGAGCGAAATTTGCAATTGTTGGATCGAATCCAAACTGATTATTTGGGTGGAGGCCTGGCGACGGAAGGGAAGATGCAGAGAGTTTGGCAGCGTTAACCTTAAAGGCAAAAAATGGCGAGAGACGAGTGAATCAGATTCTTGGGCGCTCGAGATGGCTTTCGCAAAGTATAATCACTATGGCGTTGAAGGGAAGAAGACATTCAGTTAGCTTCGTGGGTGGGAACGCCGTTGCTTTAATAGTTGTGTAAGTGAAGCAAGCATGACCATCAACTGACGGGGTCGGAGAGAGGGAGGGGGTCAATTCGTGAAAAGAAACGGGACGGAGAAAGCACCCCCCCCCACCATAGCGCTTCACTCTCCGGGGGAACAGGGGGCGAAGGGTGTGCCGATGTGACAATACTGGGTAGGGCCAAAAAAAAACGTTCGCTAGAACTTTCACCAGCTCCTGTGGTTTGTGCCTGAGCGGTGGTTGTGGTCGGGTCCCTTGTCTCTCTGAGGGGAGACGAGGAGGGGGGGGGGGAATCGATCGAGACAAGTTGACCCCGTCGTGGCTGAAATTCTGAGGTAGCAGATTTTCGGGTTTGAACCAGTGACCCAATGAGCGCCCAAAGCGGCCCCAACTTGGAAAAGCCGGTCACTTAGTCGGGGCTCCCGGGGGCCCAGTCTGATGGGGGTGTCAGAAGTAGCAGCCTGGTAGGCCGTGGTACCGCCTCAGGGGCCACATGTACCCCCAACTCGAACCAGGGTATGGTCATCATCTGGTTTTCGGGGATGGGGTCGGCGTGGGATGTTCAGGAGACGAGGCGGGGCAGAGGGGCGGGCTCCCTGCTCGTGAGAGTGGGTGGATGGCACTCGAACAGACGGACGGCTCAACGTTCTGGCGGTGACAAGTGTGATTGATGGGCTTGACTGCAAGAAATCCGGGGAAGCCAGCGATCAGGAGGGCCAATCCATTTGCAAGACATTATTCCAGTGCTTGCTTCATTGTCTAAACAAGCAAGTACGGCCACTAGAGTTCGAGGATGGGTTGAGCTGTCAACTGCCGTAAGAGGGTGTTTGCCAGCGACTGAGACACACTGTTCCGCAAGTTGGGGACTTTCGGCGGAGAAGACTTGATTGGGAGATGGCGTTCGGGCACGTACTGGAAACCAAGTCCAGGATGTGGGAGAAACAGTCGGTCTGATGCCTGGAGCCCTGGGAATGAATTCTGGCCCTAGGTGGGTGGACAGGACAATTCGTGGACCGAGGCGTGGGCTCAGCGATTGCCTACATGTACCCCACCAGCAGCATGGTGCAGGCATCTGACGATGACGACGGCGACGGCGACGGCTGGCAAGCAGAGTGTGCTTCGTAGTCGTGATACTCAGCGCCCGTGACGAGCTACGCGCCTAGGCCAGAAGATAGAGAGAGGGAACCAGAACTGGAAGAGGTGATAAGCCGGGGGCGGACTGAGATGCTTTCGGCTGGCGAGGACTGTGAAAGAATGAGCACTGTTGCCAGGTGCTGCAGATTTGGAAGGCCTCGCCTCGCTCGGGCTTCAATTGTGGCGGGGAAGGGACATCAAGCTCAGCCAGGCAAGTACGAAAAAGGCGGACAGGGCAGACAGGGAGGAAGGGATGAGTGAGGGGTGCAGCTGCAGGCTGCATCTGTCTGCATCTGCTATGATACAGCGGGGTCTAGGGTGCCACTGCCAGGCGCTGGGGGAAAAGGGCAAATGCGCAACCCAGCGTGCAGGAAGGATCACCGGGGGACGCCTTCCAAGCCTTCCAGCTTCCAAGCCTTCTTCCCTGCAACCTATCCCATCCGTCTCGGGTAGCGTGGTTCTGCGTGGGGGTAAAAGAATTCTGGACACGGGGGCCACGCCCTTGTCTGCACCCCCCTGAGCACCACCCTGTTGCCTTCGTTTCCCCAACTCCCCCGTTCCGTTGTCACCAGCTCTTGGGTCTGGATCGGGGTCCGGGTCTTGGTCTGCGGCTGACTCGAATGTGCTGCCCTGTGTGCTCATCACACGCGACCTTCGGGCGATGCAGCGGGCGGCAAGAAATCCCACGCAACAATTCTCCGAACCGTCAACGATGGGCCGCTGTATTTTCTGAATCTGACACGAATTCCATACACATGTTTCTTGCACGACGCATCACTCGACAGCTGTCCATGGATGAATGATTGTACGCATCGCAACAGGGCTGCCACGTGCCGCTGTTTGGGGAAGCCTCCAGACAAACCCAAGGTAGTGGATGCTCCCAGTCATTCCTTCAGGTCATTTCCGTCGCCGTCCGTCTTTCACACCAGCCAAAAAGAAACAGAAGGGTGCAAACTCTCTCCACAACGTACTTTTGCCATTCATCCCTTCATTACATCATGGCCTCTTCGATGTGTCTCCGGCTGGCCGCATGCATCATTGTTTACTAGTCCTCTTGTCTCCTTTTGTTGCTGGACTGAGCCGGACCGAAGAAGAAGCAAAGGGTATCCGGCCTCGTTGAAGTAGACCCCCCCCCCCCTTCCCAAACCTTTTAACACAGCTGAGCCCGCCCAGGCTGGAGCACCTATGACGGTGAGCACCGCCAACCATGACCTAATGGTTGCCCCAAGATGGGCTTTGTTGTGGAAGGGGATCCTTGTCGCAGCCCTGCACCCGGGCTTCGAACCAAGGTCACGAGTTCCTAGCAAACCTGAGGACGCCCCATTTCCCATTCCCTGGCTTCGGCTCGGCTGGGGATCCGGCTGGCTGGCAATAGGGGCCTCTGACGCGGGACTGTTTGGTCTCATGTGCCTGGGACTTTTCCTCCTTTGACCCCCCATCCTCTCCATAGATTATCGCGGTCTAATCCGCGAGACCCGGCGAGCCCTCCCACGCTGCCAATCAAGCGATCAATGTGTCGTGCGTCGTGAGTCGCGGTATTCTTTCCGGAATCCAGGTTGTCTCCGCAAGCCTCCGCTTCGCCCCCAATGACCCCCACGCAAACCCAACGAATATTTTTATCCGTCAAATCCGTTGCTTCACTACGCCCCATCGTCAGAACACGAGAATCTATGCGGTCTTTAGGGTAAAGCACGGAAGGAAGCCGACACGGCTCACCGCTCAAACGTTTCATGTACGATACCACGTCAGTATATGATGTCCCGCATCGGGTCTGCTGCGTCGACCCTATCTTGGTTCGAGCCGCAGGAGGCTCGACCGTCTCGCAGGGCACTTATTGGGGGTCTTCGGTTCCTTTCTCCAGCAGAGATCGGCAAATGTCCGGATATCCCACCGTGTATTTTGGCGAAGCGAGGCCTCGGATTCAATAGCCTTCGGAGACTGGTCCCGGTCACATTGACGTGGCCGACCGTCAGCAATATCCGTCATACAGCATATACTACCATGCTCTCATGCCACGGCGAAGCCTGAGCTGGCAGACGCAGTCAACAACCCAGTCTCTGGCCTGTCACCACGGCTGTTCGCAGTCATGGGATCATCTGCCGTGCGTCCGCCGAAGGCCACTTCATCTACTGGATATTCAACTGGTTGGTAGGCCCCCCTCGCGTGACGGGCGGCGGACGACCGGCCTGCTGCAGAGCATAACACATGGCTGCCCAACGTAGTCCGGCTCACAATCTGCCCGATGCACCCAGCCGCGATGGCCCGCCCTAATGCTTCTTCAGCCGTTACATCTGAGGGTTTAGCAGCGTCACTGTTCCAGTCGACGTGCATCTTGATCGTCCCGTACCTTGGCAAGCCTTGCAGGTGCGGCGGTAAGGGTGTTGTGAAGTCGCGTAGGAGTTCCTTTTTGTACCAGCGAAAGAGCGCATGTACCTCCAACAGCGTCCCATGTCACGGTTGCTTTACAAGTGTGATATCGAAGAAGCCGACTTCTCACAGTGATGCTACCGATGCATTTCATGTAGACTGTCGTGCCCTCTACAATCTCGCCCTCAGTGTGGCTGCAACCCCGCGTTGGGCATTGTCCAATTGTGGCGCACCACGATCACGTGACGCGAAGGAACATCATCCATCCTCTACGCCGGTCGAGCTCACGTGCGCCGACAATCGAAACAGCCGCTCCAGTGGCCGATGTCAAAACCATATAAGTCTGGAGCACATGAGGAGCCTTATCTTGCTGTCCGAAATGACGTGAGCTTTGGCTCCTGTTGAGCTGCATCGCCCAGGTCAGACACAAGAGTTCAGCCTCAGTACAAGGCAGACCCAATGATCGGCGCTCAGACCATCAAGATGGCTGGTCCTTCCCCGCTTACACGCGGTTGGGTTGGCCTGAACCTGCCCGCACGCATCGCACCGAGCTGCAGTCAGATCCATTCAGCTGGGCAAGAGCCAATAACCTTAGCTGTGACCGCCGACCCCTCCTTCCCAGTGTCACTGTCATGCGTTCTTCAATACTTTCCAGGTTACCCTCTTCGAGAGCCCTGAGAGCTTCCACATCCCTTCACGCAAGATCCCTGATCCGTCTCCCTCACACACGAGCCAGCTGGCAGAGATTTTCTACCACAACTACAACCATGAACACCCAGGAACTCGCGCAGTACCTGGCTGACGCCCCTCCCAGCGTCGTGAGACTCGAGATTGAGAAGCATTTTGAGCCTTTGACCGACAAGCAGAAGCGTTATGCTCACTTCATCAGCAGGTACGAGAGAGTCAGAATCGCAACGCTTCAGGATGAGGCTCTGCCAAACTTCGTGAAGACCATCCACCACTGACCCTGATGCAGAGCATCTCTCGCTGGTAACCGCATTGTCCTTAGACAAGTTTCGCCTGAGTCGGAGGCCATCTATGACTTGATTATCAGTCTGCACAGTTCGTCTGGCGGCGACTGGGAGGCCCTCGGCAAGAAGGCTGGAATCAATGAGACCCAACTGACGCAGTTCCTCGAGTACGCTGCTCAGTTCCTTGGCAACAGCGGCAACTATAAGAGCTTCGGCGACTCCAAGTTTCTTCCGAGATGCGACGAAAGCACCTTCGTCGCGTTGGCGAAGACCAGCTCCAAGGCCGAGGCTTTCTACAAGGCTACCAACGGCGGCATCTTCAGCGCTGACAAGCCTGGCCTGCTGCACCTTGGCTTCCCAGACAAGGGGCATCTGACGACATATTACCCTGATTCCCCAGACATTACTCAGTCTGAGATTGAAGCTGTCTCGGCATGGATGGAGAAGAAGGGTCTGTTGCCCGAAAACAACCGTCTTCGCAAGGCCAAGGACGGCAACTTCGAGCTCCTCATTGCCTCGGCTGTCACCAGTATCCCCAACGAGGGCGGTGATATTGGCAAGGACACTCAATTCACCGTGGAGGACGGCCTACTGAAGGGCAAGACAATCAAGCTTGTCTATGGCGATTACGCTGCCGAGATGAAGGCTATTTCCGAATATATCACCAAGGCCGGCGAGAACAGCGACAACGAGACGCAGGCAAAGATGCATGCCGCCTACGCCAAGTCGTTCCATGATGGATCTCTTGTATCATTCCTGGAGAGTCAGAGGCAGTGGATTCGTGACAAGGGCCCCATGGTCGAGTCGAACATTGGCTTCATCGAGACATACCGAGACCCGGCTGGCATCCGAGGTGAATGGGAGGGTTTCGCAGCAGTCGTCAACCTGGAGCGAACCCGGGCCTTCGGCGAACTCGTCAGTTCTGCCCCGGCTCTGATTCCACTCCTCCCGTGGAGCAAGGAGTTCGAGAAGGATAAATTCCTCTCGCCGGATTTCACTTCTTTGGAAGTCCTGACTTTCAGTGGATCCGGAATCCCCGCAGGTATCAACATTCCTAACTACGATCTCATCCGTCAAAGCGAGGGATTCAAGAATGTGTCTCTTGGCAACGTTCTCAGCGCCAAGGCCCCGAACGAGAAGATTCCGTTCATCTCCGAAGCCGATCTTGCTGTTTACCAGAAATACCGGGACCCTGCCTTCGAGGTTCAGGTCGGTCTGCATGAGCTTACGGGCCATGGATGTGGCAAGCTCCTCCAGGAGACTTCGCCCGGTACCTTCAACTTCGACAAGGAGAATCCTCCCATCAGCCCCCTGACCAACAAGCCTGTAACGACTTGGTACAAGCCCGGCCAGACATGGGGTTCTGTTTTTGGCAGCCTTGCTGCCTCTTACGAGGAATGCCGAGCTGAGCTTGTGGCCATGTACCTTGGCTGCGAGTTTTCTGCGCTCAAAATTTTTGGCTTTGGTGATGGGAGCGTTGACATGGATGGCGAGGCTGGTGACGTCCTGTATGCCGCCTATTTGTCGATGGCGCGCGCTGGCCTGGTATCTCTTGAGATGTGGGATCCTCGCAGCCAGAAATGGGGCCAAGCTCACTCGCAAGCCCGCTTCTCCATTCTGCAGTGTTTCCTCCAGGCCGGAGACGATTTCTGTGTGCTGAATTACAAGAAGGACGACCTTACCGATCTGGAGATCAAGCTGGACAGGTCCAAGATTCTGACTACCGGCCGTGATGGTATGTTACCTGCCTTGATATCTCTTTTCGTTTGATGGCTACTACCTAAGACTAACCACAATATCTCTAGCTGTCGGCAAATATCTCCAGAAGATCCACATTTATAAGGCAACCGCCGACGTCGAGGCGGGCACTGCCTTCTACAAAGAGATGACCAATGTCGACATGGACTTCTGGGGCACCAAGCTCCGGAACGTTGTCCTGCAGAACAAGCAGCCGCGTAAGGTTTTCGTCCAAGCCAACACATATCTCGATGAGGCGACAGGCAAGGTTAGCCTGAAGCACTACGAGGCATCCCCGGCGGGCATGATTCAGAGCTGGGCGGATCGCGAGGCCTGACTGCCCCAGACCGGCGGGCGATGTGGGCACATGATTGGCAAGCTGTGACGTGAGTAAGCGTTGAATTATCAAGCATCAGATACGGGACAGGCGAAGTTGGTGTCATCAGGTCATGTAGAACTAGCATGGGTAAGGCAGCGGGACCTCCACTCAAGGGCGTGGGGTTATCTATCAACAAGGGGCTGCACAAAGCAAGCAGCGTAGAGAACGAAACAAACTTTCGAGAATCCTTTCGCATTGTGTGCTTCTGGGTATCGTGGACCGACCGCCGACTTGCAGCCAGCCCGCCAAGCCCAACGAATGCCCTTGACCCTCAAAGGAGAACCATGGAACTTTTGGTTTGCTTTGCTTTTTTTTGAAAATGCCAATTCGACCGACCAGAGGGCCCGGGTGTTTTATCTTCGTTGTTGATTGTGAAGAACCTCATTACAGACGCCAAATGACCGATGCCGTCGAGTTCTCAAATGCATTTTGGCAAAACCAGCCCTGCCCTGAAAGCCCGGATCTTCGTTTGTCCCTCTACAAGCTCTAGCCTGCCTTCATCAGCCGCCGACCCCTTAAGACGAAGCCACACAACACCCTTCCCAAGCCGGATATCCGCGTTGTTCGTCATGATGTGGCACGTTTACCACTTCATCTCGTGGGGCTTGTCGCCCTTTCGCAGGCTGAAGGTGCTGGACAGGTAGCTGGCGAGCAGGTCGACCTTCTTGATGTTGGCCAGGAGAGCCTTGTCGATGGCCTTCTGGTCGGCAGCGCGGCTGCTGTTGATCTCCTTCTTCTGTGGGCAAGTTGTGAGCATTTATTTTCTTTTTCCCGACTCACGATTCTCGTTTGGTTTGAGCTTACCTTGGGAGCCTCGCCCTGCTTGAAGAAAGCCTCCTCGCCGGCCTTCTCCTTGGCCTTCTCGGCGGTGAAGTACTTGGGCGCGGAGACCTCCTCGAGCTTCTTCTCGTCGACACCGGAAACGTCAACCTTCTCGGATGTGGCAATGACGTAGCGGGAGTTGACCCTGCGGAGGGGGACGCCGTTGATCTTGAAGGGGCCGGTGACGAGGAGGACACCCTGGTCGAGGGTCTTCAGGAGAACGACACGCTTGCCGCGGAAGCGGCCGGCGAGCAGGATGAGGACGGTGCCAGGCACGAGGGTCTGGCGGGGAGTCCAGGGGCGGACGGCCTTGCGGACCTGTGGGCAAAAATGTGTTAGTCGTCTGTGATGCCATGTGTGCTGGGAGGGTAGGCTTGAGGAGCGGCGGATGCGTTCGTTCTTGTGCTTGAGCGCAGAAGCGCCCGGGGTTGCGGAAGTTGGTCGCTTTTGGAGGGTGAAGGGGCAAACGTGATATTCGACCTTCATGGTGCTCGCCTCGCGCGCGCAACCACTCAGGCGAATTGCCCGAATCTCTCCCCCAAAATTATCCCAAAATTCATTGCGCGTTCGCCCGGTCGATCGCATCCGCACGCTCTGTTGCTGTCCCGCTGCGATATCTCTGCCGTCACCGAGGACTCACCTTCTTAGCCTGGGGCTCATCGTCGGCAGGGTACCACTTGGAGGCCTTCTGGGAAGAGGCGGGGACCTCCCGGGTGCCCTTGCCGAACTTCTTGGTCGTGGATTCCGCCTTGGTCGACATTTTGAGGGGATCGCGTCGTCCTTTCCGGGGGATTTCGTCGAGGGGTTGGGGGGTGAAAGGGACGAGGTTGTCGTGGATGCAGGTGAGTCTGGTCGGTTTTGCCGAATCGAATTTTTGAGGGCCACTTAGGCGAAGTGTGCGAAGACGAAAACCTGCCCTTTGGCGCTAAGCCCTGTGTGGAATGGCTCGCACCGCCATGTTCAGTGGGGTACTGTGGCTGGTGTCCGAGATTCTGGGCTGATAAGATAAGAGCTTTTTCTGGGTCCAGGCGAGACTGGGGCTACAGGGCGAAGGTGCGAGAAACTGCTCCAGGGTGCTCCAGGGTGCTCGAGCTCTGGCGTGACATCAGGAAGGGAGCTGTCAGTGAAGATATCTATCGCGTGTTGCCCCGTTCCGCTGGCTTGGACCGCGGCGAATTCTTCTTTCTTCTCAGTCGCAATCATCTCTCGTCGGTTCATCGTTTGTCTGCGCAGACACGATGCAGGCTCGAAGACAACTCATCACATCCGCCCGGCGGTTCGGGCTCATTACTTCTCCACTATCAAGATCATCTCGACCACTGCTATCAAGGACTGTCCTCAATGACATCACTACCCATAGCGCTCAACGCCTTCCTGCTGTCGCCTTCAGGGCATATGCATCAGGCCGCGGGCCACATCCTCCGGGTGGCACTCACCGCATGGACATGGGCGGAGGCGAGCCCGAGAAGCCAGCATTAGAGCAATTTGGTATCGATTTGACACAGAGAGCGAAAGACGGCAAGCTGGATCCTGTAATTGGGCGAGACTCAGAAATCCAGCGAACCATCCAGATTCTTTCGCGCCGTACTAAGAACAATCCAGTTCTCATCGGAAATGCAGGCACAGGCAAGACAGCCATCCTCGAAGGTCTCGCCTTGCGAATCGTTCGGGGTGACGTTCCTGAAAGTGTCAAGAACAAAAGGGTCATCTCGTTAGACCTTGGCTCCTTGATTGCTGGTGCTAAGTTTCGGGGTGACTTTGAGGAACGTTTGAAAAAAGTCCTCGACGAGGTTCAGAAAGCCGAGGGCGAAGTCATCCTCTTCATCGACGAGCTACACACACTCCTTGGTCTCGGCAAGGCCGAAGGCTCTATTGATGCCTCCAACCTGCTGAAGCCAGCACTCGCAAGGGGTGAGCTCCAGTGCTGCGGTGCGACTACGCTGGACGAGTATCGACAGATTGAGAAGGATGTCGCTCTTGCGAGGCGCTTCCAACCCATCATGGTCAATGAACCCAGTGTCCAGGATACCATTAGCATTTTGCGTGGCATCAAGGACAAGTACGAAGTGCACCATGGTGTTCGCATCACTGATGGCGCCTTGGTTGCTGCCGCCACCTACTCAAACCGCTACATCACCGACAGGTTCTTGCCAGACAAGGCCATCGATCTGATGGACGAAGCTGCAAGTCATCTGAAACTACAACACGAATCAAAGCCCGAGGACATCATGGCTTTGGACCAGAAGATTATGACGATCCAGATTGAGTTAGAAAGTCTACGGAAAGAAAAGGATGTCGCCAGTCGCGAGCGACGCGAGAAGCTCGAGACCGATCTCAAGGCACTTCAGGAGGAGATATTGGGACTGACAACCCGATGGGAGAAGGAGCGTGCTGAGATTGAGGCCGTCAAGAACGCGCAGGAGGAGCTCGACAAGGCAAAGGTGGAACTAGATGTTGCTCAGAGAGAGGGCAACTTTGGTCGAGCTGGTGAGCTGCGGTACAGTGTCATCCCCTTCCTGGAGGAGAAAATCCCCAAGGAAGAGGACAAACAGGATGGCTCCCTTATTCACGACTCGGTTACCGCAGACGACATTGCTGCTGTGGTGTCCCGCATCACAGGGATCCCCGTCTCGAAGCTCACTTCTGGCCATATACAGAAGCTGGTTCATATGGAAGATGCCCTCCAGGCGTCAGTCCGTGGCCAGGATGAGGCCATCAAGGCGGTGTCGAATGCTGTTCGTCTTCAACGAGCGGGTCTTAGCGGCGATAACCGGCCCCTAGCCAGCTTCTTCTTCCTGGGCCCAACAGGTGTGGGCAAGACGGAGCTTTGCAAGAAACTTGCAGGCTTTTTGTTCTCGACAGAGTCGGCAGTCGTTCGCTTCGACATGTCCGAATTCCAGGAAAAGCATACCATCTCGCGTCTGATTGGTGCTCCATCCGGCTATGTTGGCTACGAAGACGCTGGTCAGTTGACAGAGGCTGTTCGCCGCAAACCCTACGCCGTCTTGCTCTTCGACGAGTTTGAGAAGGCCCATCGCGATATCTCAGCTCTCCTGCTCCAAGTTTTGGACGAGGGCTATCTCACCGACGCCCAGGGTCACAAGGTCGACTTCCGAAACACCATCATCGTCTTCACCTCCAACCTAGGTGCGGATATTCTTGTCGGAGCCAACCCCTCTCACCCCTACACCGAGACTGAAGACGGCGACGTGAGCCCCGACGTGCGCAAAGCCGTCATGGATGTTGTGGCAAGCGCCTATCCCCCCGAGTTCCTGAACCGTATCGACTCTTTCATCGTTTTCAAGCGGCTCGCCAAGATGGCCCTCCGCGACATTGTCGACATCCGCCTGCGCGAGCTACAAGCTCGTCTCGACGATCGGAGGATCACTCTCAATGTGTCTTCCGATGTACGGGACTGGCTCGCTGAGCGTGGCTACGACCCACGCTTTGGCGCTCGTCCGCTGAACAGGCTCATCACCAATGAGATCGGCAACGGGCTGGCAGACCGCATCATCAGGGGCGAGCTGAAGATGGGCGAGACTGCTGAAGTGGTCATTAAGGAAGACGGATCGGGACTTGAGGTGAGGAGTAGTGTTGCGGGTGCCGAAACAGAGGGATCTACTTCCGCTTGATCGAATATGCGAGGTCTGTAGTAGAGGTAATGGGGTAATGGCTTGGGGTGGGGGCGCGATGGACACTTCGCCTATGTTGTAAATGCTTGTACCATCTTTGTATATCATGGCTTACTCAAAACTAAGATACCATACTTTTCAAATAGACTTTGCTATTACCGAATATCGTGACGCAGATTAGCGATTGGTGATCGAGCCATCCAATTAACACCGAATCCAGTCTCGATCTTCGAGGCCCAAGTGGCAGCTTCAGCCCGTGCAAGCCAACCCTTGTCAGATACAGGGCAATGGAAAAGTGTCATTGCTGGGCATTATTCTGCCGATTTTTTTACGGAAAACTTTGTGCGAACCGTATGTCCTAAGTGGTATGCAGTGTTGAAGGGATATCACTCGGAAACAGTAAGCTCCAGATAACAGTTTCACGACAGTGTCACCCAGGCGCAACAATCACGTGGGACAGATTCTGAGTCGGTATCGCGCCAGTGACATCAGCAAGTGAATAGAGTCAGATGTTGACCATGGCGCATCGAAACCGTTATACACGCTCCTTCCAAGCATTTCGGCCCAGACCCAGCCTTTTTCATGGCATGCAAATCCCCCAACCCAGTCGTACGCCATCGTAGCTCCATTGAGGAGCAGTTGAGTAGAGATAAAAGACTACCCTGTTTCGAGAACTCCACTTCTGCTCACATTACACCAACCTCTTCACCTCGAAGAACCTCCGCAACCACCAGACCTGGAAACCCGCCTCGCCCACGACAAGAGTGATGACGAACAAGTTCCACCACTTGACACGGCTGTTGGTGCTCTCGGCAGTGTTGCGGTGGGTGCGCTCGCGAATAACGATGTAGGATTGCTCATCCTTGACCTGGGCAAGGAGCTCGGACATTTTGCGGACTGAACGACGCGGTCAGCTTTTACAAGTCCCAGACTGTACCGCTTTTTGGCTCCTGGAATTGCACAAACCTTCCTTCTCGAGCGGATCGCTGGGCACATCGGATTCGCTGACATAGACAATGCCGTGAACGTTGAAGGAGACTTCCTTGGTGTGGGCACCCCAGTGCTCGTTTCCGAAGCAGTAGGTGTACTTTCCGTCGTGTTTCGCGTCAAAAGTGTAGTCGCCGTTGGAGATGCCATTCTGCTGGGTCTCGTACTGGCCCCTGGGGTTCTGGATCTGTTTAAAAAGGGGGGTGGGTCAGCTAGATCGTATCTTCCATCGCAGGAAGCAGCGCGACTGCTGGCCGGCGCATTGGGGGACGTGGCGCGTACCCAGAAGTTGATGTCGAGGTTGCCGGCGCTGCCAAACTCACGGTCGCCGACCTGGAAGGTGACGGTCATCTTGTCATCGCGACGCAGAGACTCGTGGAAGCACTCGCGGCCGTGGGCGGGGAGCTGGATGTTGTGGGCGAGGGCGGACTGGAAGAGGCCAGCTGCGAGGAGCAGCTTGGCGACTGAGGCGAAAAACATGGCGGGCAGATCGAGGGCACGAGTTGGCTGCCTGGCGAAGAGGTTTCGACCGAAAGGAGTGTGGGGGTTTGAAGTTGTCGTCGTGGCAGAAGCCTTGGTTAGCGAAGTCAAGAAAGCCAGCAGACGCCCTGGAAGTTCTGTCGTAGCTGTCTCGACACCCCTGTCGGGACACCTTTCAACGGGGGGTTGAGCCAAAGGGGATTAGCGCGCTAGACGGCCTGGGCCGAAGTTCTTCCTGGGCTCGTCGGGAGGACGAGGTACCTATCTAAGGGGGTTGTTGCCGTGGCACGTGATAACGAAACGGTTTCCTCTAGTTATTCATTAGTCTGTGGGTGGTGGCATGCTGGAGGCTGGAGGCTGGAGGCTGGAGGCTGGTAGGCAACAGGCAGCATCAGTGGCCTGGATACCGCTCAGGGTGGGTCTCCAGAGTTTGAAGATGCCCGTGCTGGCCTGTTACAGGGAGCGTGGAGGACCGCTCACTGCACCGATGATGCCCTGGAAATGGCACTGACCAACAGAGAGCGTAAGCCCGACCCTGAACCTGCGCCCCCCATTCTGCCATCCTGGCTTCTGGCTGGGGGGGAAGGAGGAGGGAGGGGCTCCAGTCCAGTCCACTTCTCCATCACGCTCTGCTCCTGCCTCTGCCTTTGCCTCTGTGCTTTGCTCCTGGCTCCCGTCCTTTCTTCACCGACACCGACACGTCAACATCCCACGATAAGCTCCATTGAGCCCCCAAGACTCTGTCCCGTCGGAGCCCATTTGCGAATTGTAAGTTGCCGCTCATGTACCATTCTTGATCGAAATCCCCTCTCTCGTCTCGCGCGCCGACCCTTCCCACGACCTGGCGCGTGCCTTTGCTACGCTTGTCGGCTTTCTCCTTACCACATCTTTGCCCCCATTATCCCTCCATCTCGCCTGCTCACGTACCCATCCCGCGACTGGTCGAGGTCCAAATTGCCCCCCCCTTCCTACCCAGCATCACAAGGGTTCCTTGAACCATCAGACAAAGAGGCCAGACATCGCGGTAGCCTGGCCTCGAATCGTTGCCTATTGTCAGAGCGCTCGAGATCCTGTCTCGGCCTCCCCCCCTCCTTGACCTCCAGCCTGTCCTCTTGGGAACCCGCCGAGATACCAACCTCCGATCCGACTACGTCGCCGCATCATTCATCATCTCCGGCCTGGTCCATTTAAACCAGTCTACATCGCATTGTAGACTTGCGCTTACGCTCTTTTCTCTCCAACAGATCCCTATCCATCCTTGCCTCGTCACATTCAGCCGTCGCCGACGCACACATCTCCAACATGGGTCTCGCGTTTTCTAAGATCTTCGACAAGCTCTGGGGGAAGAAGGAGATGAGAATTCTGATGGTCGGACTCGACGCCGCCGGAAAGACCACCATCCTCTACAAGCTTAAGCTCGGCGAGATTGTCACGACTATCCCCACCATTGGTACGACTGCCTTATTCCCCCCCCCCCCCTGACCCCAATGCCGCCATTTTACCCCTCACTCTATTCATCATGATATGATGGTGGCGGGCGGCGGGGGGGAATCGAGGGACCCTGAATCGCCATTCCCATAGTACCTGGAGCGCCCGTGCTGACCCCCACTCCCAGGATTCAACGTCGAGACTGTCGAGTACAAGAACATTCAGTTCACCGTGTGGGATGTCGGTGGTCAGGACAAGATCCGTCCTCTGTGGAGGCACTACTTCCAGAACACCCAGGGCATCATCTTCGTCGTCGACTCCAACGATCGCGACCGTATCGTCGAGGCCCGCGAGGAGCTCCAGCGCATGCTGAACGAGGATGAGCTCCGTGACGCCATCCTTCTGGTCTTTGCCAACAAGCAGGATCTTCCTGTACGTCACCTTGCCGCATCGACCACCTGCTCGACGCAGTCGACGCAGTGGTCAGCCGTCACTTGCCGCCGCGCACCAATGCTGACCCCTCTTTTCACAGAACGCCATGAACGCTGCCGAGATCACAGACAAGCTCGGCCTTCACAGCCTGAGACAACGCGCCTGGGTACGTTGCTTTTCCCTCTTTTCATCACCGCCCCTAATTCCACAAACATGCTGACCGCCCTTGCCTCCAACAGTACATCCAGTCTACCTGCGCCACGTCTGGAGATGGTCTCTACGAGGGTCTCGAGTGGCTCGCCACCACCCTGCGGAAGGCTGGCCACCAGTAGATTATCTACCCTTACCATCCCACGCAGTCAAGAAAAAGAGCCGCATGAAAGCCTCCAGCACGCTCGCCCCTCGGCCCATGAAAACAACCCCCTCCACCTCTCTCCGTGGCTCCGGATGTTCTTTGTTTGCAAAGTTATCGGTCACAACGCAGTCGAATAGTCCATAAACCATCGATCGCATTTCTTCCTCTAAGGCTGTTTCGCTTCCGTTCGGTTCTTTCGTGGCGGTTACGCGACCTTGCCCTCTCTCTCTGTCTCTCTGTTCCGTAAGCTGGTTGATGCCAGTTAATGCCCTCCCATCCCCCCCTTTTCCCCTCGCCAGGTCGACAGCCTCAGAGGAAGAGGGTGGGTGGGCCACTCGTCATTTTCTCCGCTTCTGAAAACGAAAAAACATCAAAAGGTCGCACAGCTCGCGCACGCTCACGCTCGCACTCGCATTTCTGGGTCTCGATCTGGACGATTGGGAGGGGGGAGGCGTTTCTTTCAGGGCGGGGATTTTCTGTACTGTCTTGTTCAGGCGTCCGTCCCAGAAACTGTTGCTTTTTACATTCACTGCCTCGTGTGTGCTCTGATCGCGTCGTGGCCGTTTTTGCACTACATGCCGTGAATGCCATGATGTGGACTCGACCGGAGCCGGGTGCCTTGCGTCTCGAGTGATGATGTGTCGTATTTGTCTAGTCATGTTGTGAGTTGGGTTCAGTACACGGCTTGTAGGCGACCGAGTCGTTGCCAAGGGACCCTAACAGACACAGAAACGCAGGTCTACCCGTCAGGTGAGAGGCTAGAGGCTAGATACGATGGCAAGAAGGCCGCTGTGTCAATGGCTAGGCATCCTCGTGGTCACGACACGACAAAGTAGACATGCCCGCAGATGTGGTGACAAGGGGACGCCATGTTTGAACACAGACCAATGAATGAATGTACCAAGGCTTCCTGTATATTCAGACAACCCCAGCTAGCCTGAGCGACGCCATCATGAGAACCGTGTCTATCCAAACATCATCCAAGGAACCATGTCTACCCGGTCCCGATCAAAAACAATAAACACCAAGACGCCGCGCCATGGGCAAAGATTGCCAGGGAAACAGAAAAGGGGGGGGGTGGTGCGGGACTCATCAAGATCCCGGCCCAGACTGTGGAACCTCCTTGCCGCCGTTTCCGCCCTCCTGCTCCTCCTCCTCCTTCTGCTTGAGCTTGTCCTCGGCCTCCTTTTCGGCGGCCTGCTTCTTCTCCTCCTCGGGGTCCTTCTTGCCCTCGACCGGGAGCTCGACGTCCTTGACGGGGTGGATAAGCATGGGCGGGAGGCACATGCGTCCCTCGCCGCCGCGCAGGTGGCCGACCGTCTTGCCGTCCTTGGTGGCGTCCTCGACGAGCTCAAACTCCTCGCCGCCATCATTGTTGACCTTGAGGCCGAGCCAGCGGCGGTAGAGGTTAGGGCCGAAGCCCGAGTTGTAGAACCACGTGAGGCCGCGCATGTTGTGCTCGCGTTGACCAAAGACGGACATGCGGCTGCCGCCGCTGGCGCCGTTCTTGCCGGCGTTGAGGACGGCGCCAAAGTACTCAATGGGCCACTCGCGGTCGACGAACTGCGGGTGCGGGGCGAAGACGGCCTTGTAGCCGTGGTGGAAGGCGGCCGTCGCAGGCCACATTTCGGGGAACGCAAAGTGCTTCTTGTGGGCCGTCTCGCGGTGCATGGTCATGAGGAGGCGGCGCGAAAGGCGTGAGGCCGTGACGATGTGGGCGCGGCGCGGCGGCAGGGGCTCGGATCGGTTGTTCTTGTTGTAGCCCGTAATGTCCTCGGCGAGGCCCCAAGTGGTGCCTTCCGGGTCAAAGATGGGGTTCAGGGCGATGAGATCAGCCTCCTCGCCGATGCCCCAAGCGCTCTTCTCCTTTTCGGACCCGGTGGGCGGCTTTGGGTCGTTCTCAGTCTCGAACCAATCGTCCTCGTCAGTGGGACGCTCAGGACCCCAGATAGGCTTCTCTCCCGTTGTTGCCGACTTGTCGTTGCTCTTGGCGCCAGGGATATCGTGCCAGACGTTGTCGGCATTCGTGGTGCCCATCTCAGTTTGGACGCGCGACATCTGGCGGAAATCTTCCCACGAGCCGTGGATGCTCGGGATGTAGAAACGAGAGTTGCGCTCCCAGAGACCCTTGCGAGGCTGCTCACGCGCCCAGTTCTCCACCTTGGACAGCAGGTCATAGTGGTGACCGGTGTAGCGAATGTCCATCTCCCACGACCAGTAGTAATCGTACTCGGGGTGGTTGTAGGCAAAATACTGCAGGGCCATGGTCAGGCCACGGTACACACCGTGGACGGGCAGGTCCGGGCCCCTGCTGAACAGGTCATGCATGCCCTGGTAGATGGAGAGCATCTGCGTCTCGGTCCAGAGGGTCACCAAGCCCCTGAACTCCTCAGGGATGCTGTCCTTGATGCGCTGTTCGTAGGCTTCGTGATCAGCCCAGATCGGGTGAGCGCCGTCGTTCTTGACTTGGACAAGCAGGTGAATGTCGTAGCGGCCGCCAGAAGCGAGGGAAAGCTCAGAGATGATGGAGCGAATGTTCATGATGTCGTCTTCACGGAAGAGGTACTCGTCCCAGGCCCGGATCACGATGGCCGTGCGCGACCTCTTGTCGGGCTCGGCCGCGTGGTCGACCTTGTCTGTGGCCACATTTGTCTTGGCAGGAGCTGTCGTGGTAGCGTTCAACTTGGTATCAGATGGGGCGGCAGCTTCGGCGTCTCGAGCGGCCAGAGAGCTGGAGGACAAACCATCACCAATGTAGAAGCCGAGGGACGAAGGTGTGCGCGCGGGCAGTGACTTGTACCGAGCCTCGTTGCTCTGGTAGCACCGTCGCTGCGCATCAGCCCAGTTCACCTTGGTGTAATCGACCTTGGAGTCCTCCCAGACAGACGAGGAACCTTCGAGCTCGCCGTGCTCGCCGACACCGAGACCGCCAGCGCGGAGAGAGTAACCAAAGCCGTAGGGCCCGTATCTTCCGTACCGCTCGTAGCAGATGTCATCGGGCAAGCCAAGAAGCTCGTAAGAACCCAGGACATTGTCCGGGAAGCCCTGGGGGCGGCCCTCGTAGTAGCGAAGCGCGGGGACGCGGACCTTGTTGTCGGTATCGAGGAAGCACTCGTGGACGTGTTCGGGTTTGGTCGTGAAGATGGAGCCGGGGTGGTTGACAAAGAGCTTGCTCTCAGGCAGTCCACGCTTGGAAGCGGCATCGTCAATGCCGTCCTCTGAGGTCTGGGTGTCGGTGACGTTGACGTCGAGGGCGTCCAGGGGCAGCTCGTCCAGCGAGCCCGGATACTGGGGCTTGTTCTTGGAGACGGGGGTCAAGGTCCTGATGCCGCCGTAGTATCTTGTCAAGAAATCAAACTGCTCCCAGAGTGGAGGAGGGTCGGGCTTTTTGGCGACCTTGCCTTCGGCTAACCTCTGGTTCTCGTTCTGGCTGGCGCGCACCAGACTCATGATCATGATGCCGATGAACAGAACCAGACCCAGGCACATGTAGCGCACGATCTTGTTGGGCAGCCTGTAGAATTGTAGGCGGCCCGGCCGCTGGGGGCCGACGGTCTTCCTCGGCAGCATCAGGGCATCGCTTGTGTGGGACGAGGCCGATTGCCTCGAGCTCCCGGTGCTGGGGAGCGACTCATCGGAGTAGACATCAGAGTCGTCGGATGATGCGTAGTAGGCTTCTTCGTCGTCGGACAGTCGCTCCTTCTGGACCTTTTCATAGAAGGGCAGCCTGGAGGGCCGTCCTCGGCGTGTGCGGAGGGGATTGGAGAGGAGACCCATGATGGTCGACCTGCCCGTGCTCACTGAAGATGGAGGCGTCAGAGGAATGCTCTGCAGCACGCTGGTGTCCGCACCCACAGATAGATCCGTTGGAATGTAGTCAGTTCAACTTTGACGTCGGGCAATAGCCCTTGGAATGGCGGGGCAACTCGGTCGAGGGTGTGTTGCAGTGGTACACGGAAATGGCTTGTGAATGTACGAGTTTCTGGGTGGCAGATGGGCGGCAGGGTGGATATGTGGTACAAGGTTAAGGTAGGGAGAAGCTCTCGCGATATGGCGGAGAATCAGGCAAGGCTATCTATCTGACCTTGATGAGGCAGTCGTCCCAGCAAGCAGGTGCCAAGTTCGGTGGTCATCGGTCATCGGTCATCGGATGGAAACAGGAAGCCTGGCATTCGGGTCTTTGATTGGTCGATCACACTGGCGACGTGACGGGTCGTTGTCAGGAGCAACGGGCCGTGCTTGGCCAATCATGCCCCTCTCAGGTACCACCAAAGTGCCTGAGGCAGGTGCCATGTACCTAAGGTACCTAGGTACCATGTACCCACTACACCAGGCTCCCATCAACGCATGAGCCTCAGCCGGCCGCCTATTCTAATCATGATCTGCTTCCCTACCTACCACCTACCACCTACCTACCTACCTGTAGGTAGGAGAGGCTCGGTTCAATCATAGAGCAACAATGCCTCACGAAATGCAACGTGACAAGGTTTCTCGCAGAAGCACACACACCATGGTAGCGGATTCAACATCATCCGTGAAGAGCCGCCGAGGAAACGTGGAAGAGGAGCGTCGACCGCCCCAATCGCTGCGAGTACCGTCTGCCGTACTGTCATGTCATGGCATGTCTGAGGTGAGGCATGTCAACCAAGACAAGAGAGAGAGGGCTGCATCTTGCAACTTCGAGACGAGCTCATCGGGATGGCTCGCCAGGTCAGCATGGTACACTCCATCAGCCAGGCCTCTCGATGTCGACGTCCCTCTCCCGAGGCATCCGCATCGCCGTTCCATGATTGAAGGGGGACCAACAATGGGGGAATCCACCGCCACGGAAACCCCCTCAAAGATGATGCTCTAAGCCTCGTGCCCAAAAACCATGAGAGTTTCGACTTACCCTGCGGTTTCGACTCAACCTGCGGCCCTGTCGCCCGTCACCGTTGAGATATGTTTTTTTTCTTTGGCCGCTTCGGATCGTCTTCGTTTCCACGAAGGAAGCAGGTATTTTACCTTCCGCCGCCGTTTTACAAGGGGCTGACAACCACCTCTCTTGGTGTGTACCATTTCTGTTTATGAGAGTTTGTCGATCGACGCACAGCTTGATTGGAGAGCCTACTGGATAGAGTCCGCATGGACTCATGTTCCGCATCGGTTGAGACTCTCGGTTGAGACTCTCGGCAAATGCCTGCACTGCCTGACATGCTGAGACACCTATTGATGTCCTTCGAGGTGTCCTGGCATACAGGAGCATCAGACAGTATCTAGCACAGCTAACCCCCCAAAGAACCGACGACCCTAGTGCGACAACACAATTCAGCAGACATTGAGCCACCAACCGGCATTGAGCGACGAGACGGCGCACCACAGCACGAGAGCGTCCATCGTGTGGCCTGGTGTTGGCAGCTAACAGGCCCCTCACGTGGCAGCTGTGCATCGGCCCAGTTCGCTTGGTTGGGGGGTCCCGGCTAGCCAAAACCATGTCTTGATCACCATCAGCCCAACGTCATGTGGTTTGCCTCCTCGCCAAGCCTCTTTTCACCAGTCTCTCCCGCCCCCGCCCCTCGACAGGTCCAGTCATGAACCGACACAACGGTGAATTGCAACATCAGCCCATGTCTTCAGACGTCGTACCCTGGTCTGGTCCCTTGACGTGTTCGTTGCGGCCGGCGTTCGGTCTGGCCTCCCCGGTCTGCAGCGGCAGGCCTCTTCGTGACCTGTGAGCATCCAAGTGGACTACAGTACGCGCTTGGGTAAACGTTATGCGCGTAACACCGCCTTGTTCATCAACCCAAGCGAGCGACCGCGCATTGTGTCCTGTGCTTCCCAACAATGAACCCCCCCCCCCCCCCCCTTCCCCCTTTCCTCTCGTCAACGGCACATGCTTGTCTACCTACCCTGGGTCTCTTATCTGACCTTGCACTAAAAAAGGCATGTATGGCATGTTGGAGGGACCTGGGTTCTCAACCAGCGCCCCCTCCCCTTCTCCGACTCGCGTTGAGGACCCAACTTTCCCGCCCGAGACCTGCGGTCTGCTGTCGAAGCGTCCACTAGCATTTGACGTAAATCAGCGTCACCTGTGACATGATCTGCTGGCCTGCTGCCTCCGGCTTGCCGCCTCCCTATCGTCCGGCCGAGACCCTACCGAGAATCCTGAGTCCTGGCCTACCCCGCATAGAAGCGTGTGCCGCTGCTTTTTCCCACAGGTCGCACGAACGATACTGAGCTACCTACCGTCTGCCCTGACCTAGGGGACCTTACCCTGGACCGCTTGGGCACCTTTGCAAGTGCGCGCGCGCGCGTGCTCTCGCTCCCTCCCTCTTGCGCACTCTTATGAAACAGACCTTGATCCCCTCTGATCGTTCCTCCTCTTCTTTCCTTTCATCTCACTCTCTCTTCCCTGGACTTGGTCTCTTCACTCTCGAGCCTGTCACTAAAGACCACTCATCAGACAATGGGTCTAGATGGCGAGCATATCAGTGCCCATGCCAGTCTGACATCGCCGGCCACCTTGGACATGTCATTCGACCCATGTCCCACGACGCCGCTCCTTGAGCTTCACCATGACCATGATGCCCACGCCACGTCTCTGCCGACCTCCAACAGCGAGGCCCTAGCCGTCGAGCGTGAAATGGACATGGATGGCCTCGCCGTGGCCTGCATCGTCGCGCAAAAGCCCGTCTCCGTGACCCTTGACGGCCCCACCATCTGCGCCCTGACCGTGCTCCTCGTCTGTCTCGTCCACTGCGTCGAGACGCCGCTCGCTGAGTGCCTCATCGTCTCGGTGCCCCTCCTGCTGCTCATCCACAACGACTACAACAATTTCCTGGGGCTCGGCCCCGGTGGCACGCCGCCTACCTTTCAGGGCTATGCCCGCATCGCCTGGCTCCGCCTCTGGGCCCTCCGCGATCCCTTCACCCCGCCCGACCCGGACCCCACACCGGGCCGCCTGCCGACCCGCGGCCGTTTCCTAGCCGGCACCAACGCCCCGCCAAGCAGGAGCAGCAGCATCCACGGCGGCAGCAGCAGCAGCAGCAGCAATACCAACACCGACGTGGACGCCCTCCCGTACCGCCCCGGCCCTCGCCCCGTCGTCGCCGGCATCGCCCCGCAGCGCCAGCTCGACCAGCACGGCGCCAAGCCCCAGTACCGCGCCCTGCGCCGCACCCTCGAGCACCTCGCCGCCCGCCGACCCGGCCGCTTCGGCACGGCCCGCTCGTGCCTGGAGAAGCACGGCCTCGGCCTCTTTGCGCGTCACCCCGTCAACGTCACCTGCAACGGCGAGGTCTGCCACGTCCACGACTCGGACCACTCGCTGCACATGACGCTGCACCCGGACGACATTGCCGAGGTGCTGCGCAAGGGCTGGGGCCAGCGCCACCCGCTCGCACGTAAGGGCTGGTTCGGCGCCATGCCGGTGCCCGAGGAGTTTCTCATGGTGTACGCGCCGAGGGGTGAGTTTCCGGTTTCTTTTCTGTTTGTTTCTCATGTCGGAAAATAGACATGAGGAGACGTACGTGCGATGTCAATCGGGCTGTTGTTTTCTCACCATCTTTTTCATGGCTTTTCCCTGTTTCTTCTCTTTCGTCGTCTTGCTGCACCGAGACTTCTTCACTGGCCTGCCCCAACAGTACCATCCCCAGGTCTACACTGACTTTGCTGACCTGACCTCAGACGACCAGGAGCTGCAGATCGTGTGCAGAATCATCGAGGCGGCCATATGGTACGTCACTGCCGAGAGTGAACAGATTGAGGTGCTCTACAGGTCGCGAACATCCTCCATCGCCTCTTCCAAATAAGGTGCCCACCTCTTTTCCTGGTGAGTTCTTAGAAGTTCAACCCGAGGGAGCTATCACGGCATCCCCCAGCTCGTAGTACTACGCGACATGCTTGATCCCTAGGGTAGGTAGGTATGTACCTACCTGTACTTCAGTAGACGCCCCTCTCCTCCAGAATGCAAGGGGAAACCGAAGAAGGAAAGGACATGAGGCTATAAATACAAAACATACTTCATACATGCTCTCGTGCGTGCGCCGTGACTGCAGGGCTTTGCGCGTTCCACCCCCCTCACCCAAGAAGAGTCCCAACGCTACTCGTCCTCCTCGTCGGCCTGTCCGCCTTTGGATCGCCGAAACTTCTCCCGCCCTGTCGCCAGCGACGCCTCGACAACGCGCCCGTCAAAGCTCCGCCCGTCCATCATGGCAATGCAAGCCTGCGCCGCCTGCGGCTCGCGAAACTTGACCGAGACGACACCGTCGGGCTCCTCGTCAAAGAGGACGACGTTCGTGACGGCGCCGAGCTTGGCGCACTCCTCGCGCACGTCCTCCTTGATCTCCAGCAGCGCCGCCGGGTCCTCCTCGAGCTCCGCCAGCGTGAACATGTGCCGCAGCACCACGAGCCGGTCCCACTTGGACGCCGACGCCGTCGGCAGCGCCGCCGTGTCGTCGTCGCTCCAGTCGGCGAGCTTGGCGTCCAGCTTCTGCGTCTTCTTGATGATCTTCTGCCTGTCCCTGTCGCGGTCCGCGCGGCTCTGCTGCTGCTGCTGCTTCTTCGGGGGCAGCGGCGGCGCGCCCTCGGGGGCCTTGCCCTTGGCGTCGGCGGCGCCGTTTTCGTCGTACGTCGTCTTCTTGTAGCTCGCGTCGGCGGCCTGCACGCGCATGCGGCCCGAGCCTTGGCCCGACGGCTCGACGCGCAGGTCCGTGTCGTCGAGCAGCATGATGGCCATCTCGACCGACTGGGGCTTGAAGAAGACGACGAGCGCGTCGCCCTTGAAGCCGCCGTGCTCGTCCGTGTACATCTTGATGCGCGGCCGGCCGCTGTCAATCTCCTCGGCGACGACGCCGGCCTTGCGCGAGAAGAGCTCGTGCACCTCGTCGGCCGTCGCGTCGCGCGGCAGGCCCGTGACGTAGACGGCCGTGTTCTGCCGCGGCGCCGGCGGCGCCTTTTGCTTCTTCGCGGGCCGGGGCCGCTTGGCGGGCGCCGCCTCTGCCGGCGTCTGGCTGCCGCTGTTGTGGGCGCTCTCGTCGGGGTCCTGGCGGGGGAACGGGTCCTGGTTAGTGCGTCTGTCCGAGGGGGTCACGGTGGCTGCGGCGCTGCTTTCGTAGGCATGAGAAGAAGAGGAGGAGGAGGAGGAGGAGGAGACAAAGGAGAAAGAGGGTCCGGCCTGGGCGAAGGGCTGGCCTCGCGGTCCGGATTCGTGCACGGCGGCGCATACCTCGTTGCCGTTCAGCGGCGCATCTTTGCGTTTCCGTGACGCGCTGACGTCCTGGGCCGTGGTGGTGCTCCCGCTCTGGGCGAGGTCGGCTAGATGGGCGTCCTGTTGTTGCAGGTCTCGTTCGTTGTCGTCGTCGTGGTCTGGGGGAAGGACCCATTTTCGGGTGGCCTTGTCGAACTCGAGCTCGGTGCCGTCCTCGTCGTTGACGGCGATGTACTTGTTATCGAGACGAGAGAAGGAGATGCGATCGTCCTGGGCGAATGCGTCCTCCGACGTGGGCAACGGCGGATGCATTGTTGCGTCGGCCATGATCGCGGCTGTGGCTAGGCTGAGGGGTGAAAGATGGAAGATGGAAGCTGGGAGATGGGAAAGTTCAGAAGCCTGGGATTGAGATGCCTGAAGCTGCAGGAGCTCAGGGACCAGAGTGACGTTGAAGAGTGGGGGCCGCTGTCTACGCGAAAGTGGGGGTCACATCGGTGTCTCCTTGACCTTACCTTACCTTACCTAGGTATGTACCAGGTAGAGCAAGCTAGCTTCAGGATGTTCTTGACGGGGCCGAATTGGCAGACTCGTGAATACATAAAAGAGAAGAGAAAGAACAGAGTTGGACACATTGCCATATGTTTTCAATCTGACAGTGAGGCTGCCTAACCATCCAGGTCACAAGGTTCATGCAGCCTACACCTCTAACACCATGAAGCTTCATCTAACACCATGAGGCCTCATCTAACACCACGAGCTTCAGCTAACACCAGCCTCATCGAACACCTGGCCACGTTTGAATGGCTGCAGCCACCGGCCCATCGCCTACTCCTTCTTTTCCTGCACAGTCTTCTTGACGCCTTCGACGAAAGCCTCAACAGCCTCGCCACCACCGAGGGGCATCCCGCCGCCCTGAAGGTACCCCCCATTGGCGACCTTGATCGTGAGAGCCTCGGCGATCGTGGGCAGGCCGCCGTCGCGAATGGCCATCGTCAGGCTGCCCAGCCCCTGGTGGAACTGAGGACTCCTGAACACCCTCTCCAGCACAGTCTTCTTCTCCGCGACGCTGAGGGACGCCATGGCCGCGGCCGCAGCGTCTGCCGTCGGCTCCGAATCCCCCAGGTCGCCAGAACCAGTGGCGAGCACCAGGATGGCCGGCGGCAGGAAGCTCAGCAGGCTGTCGATGTACTCTTCCGACGCGGTGCGCAGCATGGGAATCGTGATCTCGTTGGGCAGAAGGTGGTTGAGATACGGGAATGTCTTGTCGGCGCCGCCTGCGCGCTGCTGCTGCTGCTGGCCACCCTGCGCACCGCCGAGTCCGGCGTTCCCTTGCAATGACTGCAGGAAGTTCCTGACGGCAGCATCGGCATCTGTGGGCGCCCCGCTCGCACCCGAACCAGCTCTGCAACAGTGTCAGCCTCGCTCCCTCCTCGACAAGCTAGCGCGCCGTGATGTCCATGTGCCAAGCAAGAGTAGAGCCCCGAACCATGAGTCTTTTGGGTTGTCTAATAAAGTACAGCATGCCCCTGTCTCCGGCATTCGTCTTTGAATTCGCCCCCGCCCTGCCTCGAGGCCCCAATCTGAACGAGACCATGGACACCGGGTCGCCCGCACGGCATCACTGCCAACACGACCATGGATATGACCTACGCTCGTGCTCCGTCGCTGCCGCCCTCTCGGGCATCTTCGCCCTCTTCTCGGACGTCTCCTCCCGTGGCGTCGGCGCCGGCGCCACCGCCGGCGCCCCTGTAGGCGGCGCGGCCGGACCTGTCGTTGTCGGCATCCTCCATCTCGTCATCGTCATCATCATCGTCATCGCCCTGGTTTCCGCCCGACACTGGTGCGAGCTCGCGCTGCACGTCAACGTCCTCACCCTGCAGCAGCTCGTGGACTATGTCTCCAATCTTGCGATCCCGGGGGCTGAACCAGCTGGGATCGCCGCTGGGGGACTGGGGCTTCGACTGCATCCAGAAGAAGTGTCGGGCGGACGAGGAGGCAAACTTGAGGACAAAGATGCGGCCGTTCGTCTTGGAGGATGCCTTGTCGCCGCTGTGGTGTGGAATAAACTGGCCGTCCGTGGGCACCATGACGAGGTCGAGCTCGGGGTCGTCCATGGGTTGATCGCGTTCGCGCCAGCAGAAGTGGATGAGGTCTGCAAGATTGTCTTAGCACCAGCAACGCCAGCAAACAAGCAAAAGCAGGCTGTGGATGAGACAAACCATCGTCGGAGTAGAGGTAGATATAGCCGGGCCTGGGCTGCGGCTTCACCTTTCTGGGGTTTCCTTCGGACTGCAAGGCAAGGGAAGGTCAGTACGTGGCGGTCGACGAAGCGGCTCGATGGATGGGTGTCTGGCGGCTCACCTCGACATCGCACATGCCGGCCTTGAAGGTGATGAGTGGCAGGATCGACATGGTTAGATGTCGGCTGTGCGGACTCGATGGAATTGAGAAAACAAAGTCGAGGGTCGCAGGAGGTCGAAAAGTGGCGGGAGAGGTGGATGATGTCGCCTGCAGGTTACGGCGTCGAGCACTTGCAATCAGTCGTTGGGTGGATGGAGCTTGCGATGGAGTTACGTAGAGCTTCGTGCCTGCCACTGCCACAGCGACTACCTACCTACTGGCCTGCCGGCCAGCCAGCGCCCAACGACAGCCGGCTGTTGGCGGTCGGCGGCAGCAATCGAGCGAGCTCCTCTCAGCTTATGTCATCCCGTCTCCCCTCCTAGTGGCGGTGGAGCCTGGAAGAGCCACCCTGGCGCAAGCACAGGGCGGCCCGAGTCTATTCCGTGGATGAGGCGACAAGGAGGGGGGGGCAGGAGCGGGGTCCAGGTGCTCAGCAACGAGATTGTGACTGTGCTGAAAAATTTCGGTTCCCTCATCTGAACCCCACGTCAAATCTACCACCTTTCCTTTATCAACACCTCCTTCGCCCTTCCAATTCTCTCTACTCTTTCTCTCGTCTTTTCTCTCCACGACTCGACCTCTATTCTTTCAAAATGGGTTTCGCCGATCTTGTCTCTGACGCCGGAGCTGCCAGTCAGTCCAGTCGCCAGCCCCTTTGAGGTGTTTTGTTCAGTCAGCTAATGAGCGCGACACCGTAGCCCTCAACGGATGGCTCGCCACCCGCTCCTACATTGTTGGGTAAGTCGCAGTCTTGCCATTTCTTCCGGCGCCTGTCAAGCTCTCTTCGCGAGGAGAGCGACAGCAGCGTTTTCTCTCCCCTTGGCTTCCATGATGAATATACATGGTCCGTGTTTCCGAAGCGGCCTCAAGACCCGCTCCATGTAGAAACAACCACGCTTTTAGCACTTCTGATCCTTTGCCAATTTTCCTCGTTTTTTCTCTCTATCTTCTCGGCACAGCAAACACCGAAACTTTGAGACTGACAATGTCTCAGCCACACTCCCTCGCAGGCCGACGTTGCCGTCTTCAAGGCCCTCTCCTCCGGCCCTGACGCCGCCAAGTACCCCTACGCCGCTAGGTGGTACAAGCACATCGCCACCTACGAGTCCGAGTTTGCCTCCCTCGCCGGCGATGCGTCCAAGCCCTACTCCGTCTACGGCCCCGAGTCTGGCGAGCTCACCCTGAACCCCGCCAAGGCCCCCGCCGCTGAGGAGGACGAGGACGACGTTGACCTGTTCGGCTCCGACGACGAGGAGGAGGACGCCGAGGCCGCGCGCATCCGTGAGGAGCGTCTCGCCGAGTACAAGAAGAAGAAGGAGGCCAAGCCCAAGACCACCGCCAAGTCGGTCGTCACCCTTGACGTTAAGCCTTGGGGTATGTTTTCACCATCGCCACCGGAACGAGAGCCATGACTGACAAACAAATCCAGACGACGAGACCGACATGGCCGCCCTCGAGGCTGCTGTCCGTGGTATCGAGAAGGACGGTCTGGTGTGGGGTGCCTCCAAGCTCGTGCCCGTCGGCTTCGGCATCAAGAAGCTCCAGATCAACCTCGTCATCGAGGACGAGAAGATCTCGCTGTCCGACCTCGAGGAGGAGATCCAGGAATTCGAGGACCACGTCCAGTCCACCGATATTGCTGCCATGCAGAAGCTGTAAGAAGCTTGAATGAATGATGTGGAGGGATGAATTTTATGAGGCATGATCGGGGTGGGATTGGGAGACACGATGGTTCACGCAATACCCAGAGGGGCATTGAATGAATTTGCCTACATAGACATTCCATGTTTGGAATCATGAATGCAAAAAGCAATTGAGAGGCAAAAAAAAAAAATCAATAACCATGTCACCGTGCCAAGTGAATTCTGTCTCATCCAGTGAAGGAGTCTTGTACCTCATTGGGCCGCATGCATCTATAAGATGTAGTGCGCTAAGCATTATAATGGAGGGGTCAGTGGGTCGTCCTTGTGGTGCAGCACAGTAGACGCGCCCTCAAGCCGAGTCGCGGTCTCGAAGACTTCCTCTGTGAAACCCGCCCTTGCGCCACTGCTCTGTTCTTCTGTATCCTCCTTCCTTCGCCGCGGCATCACTCGTCTTCTCACCCGTCCTAGCTCAGATGTACGGTGACCTCGGAAACAAGCTGGTAAGATTCTTCCTCCGCCTCCACGTCCAGCACACCGCAACCTGACACACGCTTCACCACCACCAGGTGCTCCAGGCCAAGCGCACCCAGAACCTCGCCCATCTGCCCCCCTACCAGGCCGAGATTGTCCGCGCCGTGACGCGCGAGGTCCGCGACCTCGACAAGGATGTAGCCGAGCTCCTCGCGCCTTACCAGGGCACGTTCGACCCGGCCGAGCACCAGTCGACGGCCTGCACGCTCCTCGTCAACCACCTCTCCATGCGCCGCAACAAGCGCTGCCTGCTCGCCTACCACCGCACACGCTCCGACAAGCTCGAGGAGCTCGTCTGGAAAGACGCCGACGTGCTCGACCTGTCGGGGCAGCAGGTGCGCGAGGGGCCCGCGGGCGGCGGCGGCGGCGGCGGCGGTCCCGGTGCCAAGGTCAGCAGCGGCGACGGGTCGACGAGCAGCCTGAGCCCGCAGGAGGAGGAGTACGTGCGGAGCTACGGCGACCTGCTGGCGGCGTACAAGGGACAGTGGACGGATATCGATCTGACGGGGAGCCTCGAGCCGCCGCGGGATCTGTTCATCGATGTGCGGGTGCTCAAGGACGCCGGGGAGATTCAGACGGAATACGGGTAAGGGGATTGGAGGCTCTTGCCTCGCACCGCCTGCCGAGGCATTTCTTTCTTCTTCTTCTTTTCTTTCTTGACGTTATTGCAATGACCGGCTGACTCCCCTTGGCCTGCAGATCGATCACGTTGACGAAGAACAGTCAGTTCTATGTACGACAGGGCGACGTGGAGCGGCTCATCACGCAAGGATACCTGCAAAAGCTGGATTGAAGGCATGCTTTTTTGACAGTTGTCACCTGATGCATGAGAAATGGAGTTCGTTGGTGCAGGACGCGTCGCCCGTGATGGCCCAATGACGCGGCGAACCAGACCATCACAAAGCGAGAGTGCGCATTGCTCTCTCGTTGAGGGGCTCACGTGTCATCTGGTTCACCAGAAAGAAAACGACTCGACGCTCCAGACGCATGCCGAGACGAGGCGTGATAGACCCTTGAACTTTCGTGCGTGGCCACTCGGCGGGCTCGACAGGGTGCTACGAGTGCAACGCTGAAGTTGGGTTGTTGCCCACATGCCGGTCTCGGACGTTGTACGCGGCACAGAACGTCCGGCAGAGGAGACGAAACGAGACGTCGAGATGGCACCGGAAGCTGGAGCCGGGGCGGCCGGGCGGGCTGGGCGCTGGGCGCTGGACAGTGGACGGTGGACACTGCCAGCAGCGGGCACGTCGGCGACTGGTGGAAGAAGAGTCGGATACCAAGGCAAGCGAGGGCATCAGGGCTACCTATCTTCTACGGCACAATATGTCAAGTCAATTGGATGACATCAAATGACTAAAGATCACATCTCTGAAGTGCTGCATGTTGGGCTTCCCATTATTTTCCACACGGGATTGCGTTGACAGAAGAAAATGACATGTATGGAGAGGACCACATGTGGTTCGTCGACCGCCTACCTAACTGCACCTGACAATACGGACCAGTTGTGGAATCACGGGCAACCCTAGGTACCTTGGCGATCACTAAGACCGGCGCTGCCGGACGAGCCCCGCCGCTCGTGGGCTGCAGCGACGATCCTGGCCACTGGCCATGTGGGCTCACGGGCCAAACGCGCTGCTGCTGTGTTCAGCCCTTTGCATCAGGTGGCGCGATCACGAATGAGTCGGGAGTTCCCTAGAGAGAGTGTCGTGCTTGGATTGCCATTGTAGCGGTCAATGGCGACATAGATAGGGACGGCGTTGTTGTTTTGAGTTGCTGACGGCGGCCTCGTCACGGAGGTGCAGAGAATTCATCACCGAAGCCTCTGGCTGGCAGTTGGCCTCCGAAGGGGGGGGGGGGGGGCATGGGGAGTCTCTGGGGCAAGCGATTGGCCTGGGTGGCAGGGTGGCGGCTGAATGGCGTCACTGAGGCTGCTTCGTCTGCTGCACCCTGCTGCCTCGTCTGCTGCACCCTGCTGCAAGCTACTGCTGCCCACGCTGCCCTCATGCTGCTGCTGGCTGCCAGGACCAACCTGAACCTGGACCTGGACCGCGACCGGGACCTGGACCGACCTCAATCTTCAGGTGCGGGGCTCAATTGAAACTGAACGCGCGCTGGCGCCTCATGCAAATTTGCCGGAAGAACTCAACCCAACCCAGAGAGGACCGAGTTCCACGATACCGGCAGACGGAAGACCCCAGCCGGACCCCCTTCGAAACGCACGCAATCTGTGTCCTGTCAAGACAGGTCGATGTCCCGTCAAGACAGGTTGACTCGATGGAGCATTCATATGGCATTGGCATGTTCGACGTACCTCCAGGTAGCTAGGTTGGTAGGTACGCAGGTATCCAATTCAGGTTCAGGGACCACCAAGAAAGACATCAGCATCGCCCAGCCGGCCCCATGGCTTATCTGCCCCATACCCTTCCCTAGCGTTCCTACGTCGTCTCCCCCATCCTCGTCACACCTTCAGCTCTCCATTGCATACCAGTTCCCACCCCCATCGCGTGCGGGCGCTAGGATGGTCCAGAACTAATCCCTTTCTGTAAATACTTTTGCCTGCTTCTTCTTCAGCCAACTGGGACCCGAGCGACCTTGGCTTTGACTGGCTTTGCCTGGCCCTGCAGCAAACCTTCGTCCTCCTCCTCCTGCTGCTCCGATTCGGACCTAATGCTCTGCCCCTCGCCGCAAACCCTCCATCGCTGCTGCAGTTTCCAGTGAGCACATCGTCCCGTGGATGTCGCCATGTCGTCACCCAATTATGGCTTCTCGCCATGGCGGAGGAGAGCTTCGTCACTGAGCACCCAGACCCAACCTACCGACGACGCGCAGCCCACGCCCATCAACCGCCCGAACCGCAACTCCCTTCCCCCTCACTCGGACTCTCTGCGGCAGCTGTCCTCGTCCACGGGCCAGAGAGAGCCCATACGGTCCTTCATACACGGCTCAGTTCGAGACGACCTTGGTAAGTCGCTGCCGCCAACCGCTCTACCCCACCGTCGGAGGAAACGCATATACTAAGACGCACGCCCACCTCCCTCCAGCACCTGTCGACAGCGCTGAATACCTCCGTCACGTCCGCGAGGACACGGCAGAGCTAGCCTCCTACCTGCTCTCTGACAAGAAAAGCAACCAGAGCCCCGCCTTCCTCTCGAGACGCCGCTCCCAGCAGTCCCAGGCGCAGTCCCTCCTGCCGAGCGAGGACGACGATGCCGACTACGGCTCCGAAACGATACACGAAGTCTCGGAGCCTCCTTCGCCTCACAACGAGATACAGCCCGACGACGAGCTGCCCGACGAGGGGCCCTCCATCCTGACGAGCTTGCTGCGCAAATCTCCACCACAGTCCAGAGGGGCGTCTTCTCCGTCGCCTGAGCCGCGTATTCCCGAGATCGAGACCCCGGCGCTCGAGCAGAAGAGGTCGAGGTCGTCAGAGCGTCAACGACGGCAGAGAGACAGCATGGGAGGAGAAGAGGCAGAGTCTACGGAGCGGACGCCCCTGCTGGGAAGGGTGTCCTCTGACGGGCACGGCACCAATGGCCGCACCGCGGACGACGTCGAGGGGCAGAAGCCACGGCCGCGAAGACAGTGGCTCAATGGACTGAAGACCGCCGGCCACAATGTCGAAGCCAGCCTGGCGCGGACTGCCAAGGCGGCGACGAGTCCGCAAATCTGGAACCGCAAGTCGCTGTGGGCGAACGTGGTGGTTGCGCCCGCCTCCTGCCTGCCTGCCGTCATCGTGGGGCTGCTGCTCAACGTACTCGATGCTCTGTCCTATGGTAAGACTGTTCGACCATAATCTACAGTACGTAGCATGCTGACCACTCTACCAGGCATGATTCTCTTCCCCCTCGGCAAGCCCATTTTTGCCGGTCTTGGCTCGGCTGGCATTTCTATCTTCTACGTGAGCACCATCGTCTCACAGCTCACCTTCTCGGCCGGCAGTGGATTCAGGGGTGCTGTTGGCTCTGAACTCGTGAGTATGTCCTTTTCCTCCCCAGCACGCACGCTCTGACACACCTCAGATCGAAGTCGTTCCATTTTTCCATAACATGGCTCAAACTATTACCGACATCGTTGGCGAGGAAAACCCCGACGCTGTCATCGCCACGACAATTACCGCATACGCTATAAGTTCCATGGTCACTGGACTTGTCTTTTACCTCATGGGCAAGTTCAACTTCGGCTACATGGTCGGCTTCATCCCTCGACACATCTTGATCGGCTGCATTGGCGGTGTCGGATGGTTTCTCGTTGCTACTGGCTTCGAGGTCTCCGCCCGCATGAGTGGCAGCCTCGAATACAACTTGGAAACACTGCGAAAGCTCTTCCAGCACGACACAGTACTGCTTTGGGTTATTCCTCTCATACTGGCCATTGTGCTGTTCTACGGCCAGGCAAAAGTTGCGTCCAAGTACTTTCTGCCCTTGTACATCACGGCGATTCCCATCGTCTTCTACTTCTTCGTCACAGTCATTGACACTCTCG